AGGACATATGTTACAAGCATGTATGAAAATACCACAATGAAATGCAATTTTTATAAAATTAATACACACTAACAAATAACATGTCAAAAAACACAGTTTTAAAAAATAGGAAAAGGGGAAAAATGTGGATAAGACACTCCAGGTAAGTCTGGAGGGACAGGTCCATGGGCTCAGCTCCGGGCTTGCTCTTCCCGCCCCAGCCCCAGGACCATGCTCCAGCCACACAGCCCTCCTGGGCACTCTGCAGAGGGCCTGAGTCCTTCATGCCCTCTTGCCTTAGTGCTGGAGCTGTCCTCTTCCTCCTCGTAGCGTCCCTTTCTCTTCTTTTCCTTCATAGCTAGTCGCTGAATTAAAACAAATTATTTTTTATTGTGAGACACTATTGTAACCCAAATAAAGAATATTCTAATCCAAGTGTTGCAATCCCTTTCCTAATCTTCCTCACAATTCGGCAAGTTATATTTGCAATCCCAGTGAGACATTATTGGAATTTTGGTAAGTTAATTCCAATCTGCCATCTCCAATGCAAGCCAGCCACAGTGAGAGTAAAGACACCAAGACATATTCAAAGTAAAGAGCAGCCAAGGGGTCCTAAGTCCAATCCAAGTGCAGACAAAGGCCTCGAACCAAGGCTTCTCCCAGAATTTATTATCTTGTGAAGAAGGGGGTGGCTTGAGGATGAATGACAGTGAGGATGGGGGAATTATGTGAGAAATCTGAGCTGGCTAGCCAAGTAGGGAGAAAAACATCTTTGCAAAATGTGGGGAAAATGATACTGCAGAAGGATTGGTCTGCATAACTCAATGAAGGTAGCAGCTGAATTGTTTTTGGAGGATGTTGTTTCTGATATGTAAACTTTTGTGCCCTGGGGACTCACAGCCTCTTTATTTTGAGGCTTGTATCCAGACAACATTCCTGGAGCTGAGTGGCTCTGCTGCTCTGCTGTGCTTGGATCCTTTACAGAAAGCACTATGCAAGGAAACAGGAAAGTGCCAGTTGGCCTAAAAGGTTACATACTAGTCCTTAGCTGGCCTTATCTGCATCACTTGGAGCCAACTGAAGGAAGAAGGATCTAGCATAGCCCACTCTGTATACATCAGTATATGGGAATAAGACCCGATTTAACTGATGTAGAAACTGTTCTGCAGTCAGGTGAGTCGCTCAAATTGTCTCCTACAAAACACTTAAAAACTTACAGAAAAGATGAAAGTACAAAAAACTCCTGTGTACCTTTCATCAGTATTGGCTGTACCCATTTTCACATGCATTTTACCTTTCTCTCTCCCTCTCCCTATTTGTGTCTAAAACTTTTAAAAAACCATTTGAGAGAAAACAGAACACATGGTCACTCCCTATGCCTAAATTCTTCAATGTAAACTTCCTAAGAATAAAGGCATCAGCAAATTTAATACTGGGAAGTAATTCTGTGTAAACTACAGTCCACATCCAAATGTTGCAGTTATGCCCTTTATGACTCTTTTTTTCCTGGTGCAGGGGCCAAGCCAAGCAGTTCATTCCTTTTCTCACTCATCATCTATGTCACACATCAGGTACTGTGTAAAGCACTTGGGATAAAGTAGTGCTGGAGAGGACAGCCAGACAAGACCAGTGTGCTCAGAGCATTACAGACCAACAGGGAGGCTCATCAGTCAAATAACCACACCGATTACAAGTCTGTATGATCACAGACTGAAACATGTAGAGGAGGAAGCCCTGAGTGGGGTAAGAGAAAATGTCTGAAAAGTCCCCTGAGTAGTGATGAGTGGTGTCAGCCAAGAAAATCCCATGTGTGTATGGGGCACGGAGTGGTGAGCAAGCCTCACATGCTAGAAGGAGGGCATGTGCAAAGGCCCAGCTGCAGAAGGACACAAGGCCTGTTCAAGATCAGCGAGGCTGGAGGACAGAGGTGGAGGTGATTCTATAGGGAGAGAGCCTGGGATGCAGGCTTAATTTTTATTCTAGAACAGGAAGCCACTCATGGGTTCCCAGGAGAGCCAGTGGCATAATTTACATTTCCAAAAGATCACTCAGCCTGCTGAGTGTGGCCAGGTGATGGAAATAATACAGGTCAACCAGTTCTTATCCTTGGTCCCAAAATCCAAAAAGCTTTTTACATAACTTTTTCTTAATAAACCATTTAGTGGCAATGCTTGACCTGAATAGACATGTGGCTATTAATAGTCTTTACTTATCTACTTAGTGTGAATGTATCTTTGCCACAGCGGGAGGAAATACCTTTGATTATAGGGAGCCCCACCAGGGCTATTACACTAAATTCATACAGCAGAGATTGAATATGCCCACCCCCTAAATTTGTAGTTGAGATCCTACCCACCCGTATGATATTAGAAAGTAGGAGCTTTGGGTAGTAATTGGGTCCCACGGGTAGAGCTCTCAAGAATGAGATTAACGCCCACTCTCTGGGTCTGTCTGTCTGTCTGTATCTCTGTACTATGTACTTATCACATGAAGCGCAGCAAGAAAGTAGCCACCTATAAACCAGGAATAGAGCCCTCTCCAAAAACCTGACCATACTGACACCCTAATCTCAGACTTCGGCCTCTGTGTCTGCAAGAAACAGAAGTCTGTCGCTTAAATCAATTTATTCTGTCACAGTAGCCCAAACTGATGAAGACAGTTACCAATATCACCTCTCAGCTCCAGAACCACCTTCATCACCTGATGTGGGGAAAAAAAAAAAGGTTCTGGGTCCTTAAAGCTGCTTCTCTGGCCAGCTGATAGATGTCCATGGTGGTCAGTAGAAGGTGCAGGAGAGAGACTGCAGGACGGGTTCCCATCCTGCTTCTGCCGTGATCACCGTGGCTTCAGCTGCAGGAGGCCCCGACAGCCTGCACAGCTGCCCTGCGTCCACTCCCGAGCAGGACCTGCTTCTCCACCGCCCCAATCCCGCAGTGAGAAGCTCCCCCAGCACCCACCCTCTGCGTGGTTTTCGGCAGAATGCCTTCCGTGAGACACCTCGAAGGAGGATCTCAGCAGGTCTCACTGTGACAGCACCACCACAGCGACTTCTCTGTCACCTGGAAGCACCACTGTGCCGTCTCCCACCATGGGGAGGGTTTCTTTGGGGCTCACCCCTCTGTGAACACTGTCCCAGCCCTGTGATAGCGGCTACTCCTAGATATTTGATGTTCTCATCTTCTTTAGAGCTCATCTGCCCCTGTTAGCCAATCTTTCATTACTAATTTCCTACTGTAGTTAATAATACTTTTTCTGAAAATTCCTGTGTTCAAATAACTGTGTGATTTCTCTCTCCGAACTGACCTGATTAATATAACTGAGTCCTAAAACGCACCTAGTACCAAAGATTCGGGCTAAGAGACCGTGGGCCTGTGATACTCCACGTAGCACTTGCCAAGTGTCAGCACTGTATAAACTGATCTAATCCTGACAGCTACCTTACAGAAGTAGGTACTGCCATCAGGCCCATTTTTAAGTAGAGGAACTGAGGCAATGAAGATCAGGGATCATCCAAATCAAACAGCTGATAAAGGACCAACCTGGGATTCGCAGGGAAGCCTTACAAGCCTGGAGGTTAGGGCAGGGCGGGGCAAGAAGGGAGGAGACAGGAGAGATCCGGTTCAAAGGCTACCATGGGCCTTCCTGTGCTTCATGGTCCTGCCCACTCTGACTGCCCTCAAGTCATCTGGCTAAAGGTCCAGCTGGTCCTTTCCTCTTGGAATGTCAAGTGCGTAGCAGAGAACCAGCCTGAGGCACTCTCAGTTCTCAGTCAGAGACTGACAGATAAGGGCCAAGCTGAATGAAGCAGCACAGGAGACCCCAATGCCAGCGCCAAGGCAGGCCGAGATGCGCAGGCGGGGCCCTGTGCTTGGGGTGGCGGGGCTTCCCAGAGCCTGTTTGGGGCTGCTCTACCTCACTTGACCTGGGTATGGACGCCTCACAGTGACTGACCCAAGGACCTCGTGGGCCTCTTTCAACATCAACACCCTTGAATTCCAGGACCCTGACGAAGTGTATCTGGCCACCTGGCCTCAGGACCAGACACTCTTCATGTTCCCAACAACGAGATGTCTAGTTCATGAACCCGGCCCCTCCTGCACTCTGGCCTTTTCAGTCCTACACCCCGCTTTGCTTTTTAGAGGCCAGTGACACTCAATTTGGGAGTCGCTACATGCTCCACTTGGTTTTTCCCCTGTGCTGTCCCCAACCCTCAGTCCTTCACTACCTGCCTAAGCAACTCCACTCCCCCTGAAAGACCTAGCCAGGATTCCACCCTCCAGGAAGCCTTTCCCATCTGCCCATTGCTTGTTCAGCGCTCAGATACACCCAGGGACCCACCAGCAAACAATCCCATGGCATTCTGGCTCAGTCAGTTTGGTATGTAGAGCCAAAGCTCAAGGTTCAGGACTCCAGAGAACGCTAGGAGCCTCTCCAGTAAACTGTGTCACCTTGGGTCAAGCTTAGTGCCCTCATTTATAAAGTGGGGACAATCATGGTGCATATGTTACTAGGTTGCTACAAGGACTAAGAATGAGAGCATATGCAACTGCCCCTAGCGAAAACAGCCAGCAATAGTTATTATTACTCTGCACAGCCTGAGCTCAGAGGCTGCAAATTATAGCTTGGTGGCCTCACTGCCTAGCAGGGTGCCTGTACCGCAGCAAGGCACAGTGGATTAATGAATGAATTTATTCTCCTTCCACTTGAATGGCCTCCAGATTGGTCTCCCTGCCTTTGCTGCCTCCTGCATTGCCACAGTTATCTTTTGAGGCACTTCCATTTCAGTCACCCTCTGCTCAAAACCATCCCTCGCTTCCCGGCCTCCTCAAGTTCAGCCTCCCCAGCCTAGCAAGTGCAGACCCTGCGATGTGACCCTCACCTACCTTCCCTGATACTCTTCAGCAGACATCTGAAGTTTCAAGGACTCTGGCCTACCCAGTACTGCTGGAGTAGTTTCCCACCATCACCTCCCAAGCCCTGAAGGCCCCAACCCTACTATGCACACATTGCTAAGGTCTTACCCTTCCTTGGGACCAGCTTTCAATCAGAAGCCTGCAGAAGTCCTTTCTGACCTCTCTACTGTGAGTTCCCCACCCTGGCATCTACAGCACTGGGCTGGCTGCCTTCCACAGAGCTAACTCCTCCCTCTCCTGAAGGCAGTGGCTCGCTTTTTCGCTTTCTCTCTTTCTCTTTCTTTCTTTCTTTCTTCCCTATTGTGCAGCAATCCCCCAAGTCAATTTAGCTGGGACGCAGAATGAAACAGCACATTATTGAAGTCAACGTAGCTGGAATTCAGAACAAAATAAGAGGCAATGGAAAACAGTAAAACCAACCTGTGCCACGTGTTTATTCATTTGTATTCAAGGTTAATAGATGCTTAAAAAAAAGTTGATCTCTTAATCAGGAGAAGGGCTTTACTTAAAGAACACATACATGCAGTATAACATGCTAATCCTCCATAGGAAGAGAGGATCTTTCCCATGAATTAAAAAGGAATGGAAGTAGCAGGAAGAGATTAAGACAATCACCCCTGCCTCTGGCAGCCCCAGGTGTTTGTTCCAAGGCTACAGCTCCAATCTCTGCCTCCATCTCTGCAGGCTGGCTTCCTGCTTCGTTCCTCTTTTCTTCGCCTTATAAGGACCCCAATCAGTCACACAGGATTAAGGGCCCAGTGCACTTCAGCATGACCTCATCTTAACTAGCCACAGCTACCATTATCCTATTTCTAAAAATGGTCATTCCTGAGGGCTGAGGACTCTAACACAATGTTTTGGGGGACACGATGCAACCTGGAAGAATCCATCTGTCCCCTTCATGCGAGCAGGGGCCCATGGAAAGACTAAGGCACTAGCTGTCAGCCCTTCTCCTGAAGGGCTTGTCCTTCAGGGACATCCAATCTCACCTCCACAGACACCTCCCCTGAAGAAATAAGCAGGGGTCCACATTCCCAAGAACAAATGAGGGGGCAAAATGTAGTCCCAGAGAAGTCTTTTCATTTGCTAAAATACTGTCTGAAAGAGGGAGTGAAAGGGATTCTCACCCAGAGATCCCACAGAGGAAGCCATGTGGACGGACCACAGGAAAGACCTAAGAGAACAGTGAGAAGGCGTCCCCCAAGGCCCTCACCCACGGGCCTTTGCTGTTGCCCATGGGAGCTAACATTTGATGCTCTCTGATCTCACCAGAAGACAGAGAAGGAAGTCTTTCTTTCCCTGCTATAAGAATGCAGATCCTTGAAGATCAAGTATACACATTCTCCCAGCACCAAGAATAGAAAGGTGTCCAAATGAGATGCAGGGGGATGGCGGCCACAGGTAAGCTACCTGCACAGGTGTGCGGGGACACAGGCATGCATGCATTTATTTGTTCGTTCCTTCATTCAGCATACAGTCACATTACTATGTGACCTCGCTGTATGATGGTAAATAAGCAGATAAGCAAGGTCCCTGCCCTCATGCTGCTACCGAAGCAGAGATACACAAGCACGTTCATTAGTGTGGGAATTCCAGACAGTGCGAAGTTACAAGGGAAGAGGTATGTCCAATGGCTGATTCAAGGAGGGCCTCTCTGAGGACGAGAGACTGCAGCCATCCACGCGACAGTCACTGGGAAGAGCAGTCCTTGTGCAAAGATCCTGGGAGAAGAAGGTGCTGGATGTACAGGAACCCAACATGGCAGAAGTGAGCTAGGTGTGGGGATGGGAACAAAATGGGCTTGACATGTGAGCAGGTGCAAATGAGACAAAGTTTGAACTGTGTGAGCTCCTGGAAGGTTTTAGAAAGGGACGGGAGCTTCTGTTTACAGAGGTAAGCTTGCTCTCTGGCTGAGGGTAAAGAATGGACTGTGGTTGGGGTTTGGGGAGCCAGGAGCTGCACCAGGGATCCAAGCAAGCCAGGATGGGAGAGTGGAGGCTGGGAGGAGATGGTGGATTTGGACTCCAGTGATGGGGAGACCCAGATTCAGCAGGCACAGGAGACCCAGTGGAAAACTCGGGGCCTCCCTGAGTGTCAAAAGCTGTTAACCCAACGTACGTATTAGGAAACTGAGGCACTGCCAGAACAAGGGCTGCCCAAGTAATGTAACTGAACACGGATCCCATCTGAAGGTTCAATCTCCTGCCCCACAACCCAGGCTTCCTCCACCAGACACAGGTTGGCAAACAATGGCCCAGCCAGTCCAGCACACTGCCTGTTTTTACAAATAAAGTTTTACCAGAACACAACACAGTCATGTATGTATTTCTGATGGCTACTTTCACACTGCCACGGCAGAAATGAATAGTTACAGCGAAAACCGTGCTGTCTACAAAGCCTAAATTATTCTTTCATCTGAAACGTTGCTAATAGCACGGTAGCAAAGTTTGGGAATAGAACCTCTCTATCCAGGAGGAAGCTCCAGCCCACACGGTAGCTCTCTGGGACCACTTTCCTCTAGTTGGAGCCTCACTGGGGATTACCCTGCAAAGGCTCCTGTGACATTACTTTCCTTCGCTCAGGGTAACGGCAAAGCACAGGCACTATGACATTCGTGCCAGTAAAGTCATACAAGTTAAGTTCCATAAGCATTTCCAAGAGACGGAGATGAATTCTAACTGGAAAGATCAAAGAAGGCTTTCTGGTAAAGGAAAGATTTGAGAGGAACTTGAAAAACTGATTAGAGGGCACTCAGGACATGCTCTACCTGACTGACAGCAGATTACCTAGGACTCTGCGGAGACAATGCCACGTCCTCCACCGCTGGGACTCTTTAAGCCAAAGGCGGTTGCCCATTTGGCAGGGATAAGGTTGAGGGAGACCAGACAAGGTGAAAGATACACTCTCTGGAAATCCTGAGTTCCAGGCTAGTGGACTGGGCTTCTGTAGCCTTATCTTTGTCTTATTAGCTGTCAGCAACACATACAAGCAGAGAGACAACTGGGTGGGGGTGGAGGGTGAGACAGAGAAACATACAGGGAGAGGAATGGGAGCGGGAGAGGGGTGAGAGGGGTGCACTCACGCCCACAACCAAAGAGAAGCCACACAGCCACAGAGGGAGGAAATCTACACCAGCGCTTTTATGCCCTTAACTGCTTGCAGAGAAGGAAAAAAAAAAGCAAAGCCTGACAATTAGGGTTAAAACTAATCAACTGTCCCTTTATTACCTCTGACTTGGCACCTGGCAGGCTTCTTAATGCACCCCATTGTTCCCTGGCAGAGCTTTGGCGGCTGGAGCCCTCAGCTGCCTCTCCTGCTGCCAGGAGACAGGGGAGCGGGCTGGGAGGGGAGGAGCAGGGAAGGGCACCCCGTGCTCACAGGGAGGCTCTGCCAGGAGCCCCCAGCCCACCAGCAGAGCAGCCCACCAGGCGGGACAGGCCACTGGCCTCTGAGCATGGTGTATGACCACAGCTCCCCGGGAGGAGTTTGCAAAACCAGCAACCCGTCTTCTCTATACTCTGCCCACACTTCAGGAAGGTATATTCCACTCTGCGAGTGAGGAAACGGAAGCCAAGAGGTTCAAAGGCTGCCCCTAGGAATCAACCAATCATGGTGGCTCAGCACTGCTTGTTTCCGGTGTGTTTACTTCCTGCGCCTCAGTTTTCCCCTGTGCACTGACAATAAAAGAGCGCCACCCTGCTGGTGTCACAGAGCTAAGCAAACGAGGCAGCCACAGGGCACAGCATGCAGCAGGCACTCAATAAATGATCACTGTTAGTATTGCTGGAGAGCTAGTTTCGAATACCGAGCTAACTCAGTGCAGGGCTGGTGGTCATGCCTGGCTGTGCCTCACAGTCTTGCCCCGCAGGATGCAATGAGCCTCCCAGAACCTTAACAGAGGTCCTTAAATGCCGGGCAGAGCCGCGGCTTCTGCCCTGGCTGCAGCCTGCGTTCAGCAGAGCTCTGTCTTGACAGTGCTTTCAGGGGCCTCAAACTGCACTCACACAGATCCTTTCCCAGAGAAGCCCTGGATCCTTCTGAGATCTTAGACAAGAGGGCACAGCATGAGCCCTTCCCTCTGGAAAACTGTCTCCATGCTCATTCCGCAGGATCCGAGCATTCCTCTGAGCTAGGACTGCACGTTCTACAGCTTCCTCATAAACCAGGAAGCACGAGGCACATAACAAAGTGGATTCTGTATCCACAGCACGGCTAACAAACTCACAGCTGCCCCGACACGGCTGGAACAAGCCTTATTGGAGGCTAGGTCTCAAACTCAGGGGCCTAGGGACAGAGAGAAGCCAGGAAAAGAGTTTCTTGGAATGAGACAGAGCGGGAATCACCGAAAGCCTGAAGGTAATATATTCATGTTTCCCTTACCAACCCCCTTGGAAAGTTCACTCGTCTTACAGTTGGAAGGCTGAGCCTCAATGTACTTGCTCTGTGACCAGCATTGTCACTTATGCTTTTTAAACCTCAGTCTTCAAGTCTTTAAAGTGGGACGCATACACCATGTCCTGCCTTCAGTAGGAGACAATGAGAACCAACCAGAACCCTGCACCCTACACAGCAGGACTCCAAACTCAAACATCTCTGGAGGTCAGGTTGTTCTATGAAAAGATAAGGCAGCCAGATGTGAGACAGAGAGTGGCAGGGGCTGTGGCCGGGTGCAGAGGGAGGTCTGTCTGGAGGGGCAGCCACTCCCCAGACCGAGCATGTTTTCATGACACCAGAACCCAGGTCCAGCCGCCAGACTTTGAGCTTTACTACAGAAAGCCAAAATAAAATATTTTTTCTAAAAACATGAAATGTTGCAATGCTTACATATTGGCAACTAACATTTAAAAATAAAGAAATTCGACTGTCCATGGGCCCCATACTGAGCAAGCCACATGACTCCTGTATGGGAGCTCTCTCTGGCCCAAGGGCAGCAGGCTGTAGCATATGTTAAGGTTGGTTTTTTTTAATGTAAGTGTCAAATAAATTAACACAAGAAGCTTCCAAGAAAATAGCCACTAAGGATTGTTATTAATAAAATAACCAGGAATCCCAACTATGGACCTCAGTATTCCAAGAAGAAAATCATCAACTTTTTGTTAAAGTTAGGTATTGAATTTAGAAAACTGGCCATTTCTCAAAGACACATGTACTCGCACATACAGTTTAACTGTCAGCAGCTGACTCTGACCAATACCCAAGAGGAAAACCCCAAATACAACACTTTTGAGTTGAGAACATACAACGTGCTTTAGCAGCGGGAAGTAGTTTTCTCACACACACACACACACACACACACCCCAGATGTTTCCAACCTGTTCCCTTTAGGAAATTTCCCTCTCCAGCTGCTCCTGACAGTTCCCTGTGCTCAGCCCTGGCCTCAGCAGCCAGCCTCGCAGAGGAGACTGACATTTGCCACTCGCAGCGGAAACCCACTCAAACACAGGACCTGCTGACCTCAGCTCTTGGAAGGCTGCCTGCGTATGGCTCCGGGGCAGTGCTGAGACTGACTGTAATCCCTGCCTGGGCTCGGCTGCTGGGCCTTCAGACTAAGAAAGAGCTTTGCAGAGCCAAGAACAAATCCAAGGCTCAGGCTCATGGGTCCCCAGTGGTAACTAACGGATACCTGGACTCATCCAAGATCCTGCGCTCAGAGGCAGCAGAGGAAGACATCTCAGCTCCCTGGGGGGGGGGGGGGTCACCTGTGTGGCCTCATATATGTCACTTTACCTTTCTGCACCTCAGCTGTCTCATCTTTAATTTAATCATCACAGGAACATTAGGAAATCAGAGTAACTGTGCTCATTCTGGAGAAGGAGCCGAGAGCCACGGCACCAGGCATGCAGCTGGCGAGCAGCAGAGCTGGGCCTGTGAGTCTGGTCAGTTTGGATTCCAATTGCACATTCTCTGCTCCTGCCAGCTCAAAGAAGAGGTTCACAGTCTCCATAATGCCACCCATTCCCAGGAGGCCCTGTTCAGCCCCCTCCCACTTACAGGCACCATGCCATGCCCTGGCCCCCAGCAGGAAGGCAGAGCTTCACCCTAGAAAGCCAACGGATTATGGGCACTGGAGGAAAACAAAGCTTGAGAGCCCCCACCAGCCCTGGCAGCCCAGGCAGAAGGATTTCAAAGGGCCCCGCCCACCCGGATGCATCCTGGGCTCCTAATCTGCAGACATCTGATTCAAGGCCAATACTAACAGGCACCACAGAGCTCTCCAGCAGGCACTGACTGGCAACACAGGAAGCCAAATAAATGAAGTTGAGGGGTGCCTCTCCTAACACGCTCTGAGGACAGTGGAGTGAGCCCCTGGGAAGAAGCCTGTCTCCCATGACTGCAGTAGGATTTGTTACCCATGTGATCTTTGGCAAGATCGGCCAGATCGGCCCAATCACGCTCCTCGGGTGCGGCCCCAGAGCCTCTATCCTCAGTGGGTTCCCCAGGGATTCTGCAGGGCCCCCCAGTGCAGCAAGAACTGTTGCTTAGGTCAAGCTTTCTGCCCTCTGCCAGGGGATGCTGAACTCCAAAATGCATGGTTCCCCACTCCTTCACCTCTTCTCTCTTCCCTCTCTCCCTCAGTCATTCAGCAAATATGCTGTCAAGCAGTGGTGACTAAGGCAGAGGATAGTTCCCATCTTCAGTCTGAACAGATTAAAATAAACCACTACACTGCATGGTGATTCCTATAAGGGGCTTTGGGCCACCACAGGAGACAGTTCTCACCCAGGCTGCCCCGGCCAGGCTATATCAGGGCAAGAGAAAGGCATCAGATGTCTTCCTGAAAGGGCCTCCGAGAGAAGAAGGCAGACCAGCCTGAAGCTCGGGAAAGCAAGGACAAGAAAGTGGTTCCTGGGGCCACAGTGGCCAAGAACCCTTCCTGCAGGTGGCTGGCAATGGATGGGCTGAATGTAGAAGGACGTGGGAAGGGACCCCAACAATCCTTTCCAGTCTCAAAGACTCAGGAAGGGGGTTACCTGCCTGTGCCACCTTCCTGCAGTAATCAGAGATCCTGCACCCCACCTGGCTCCCGCCACCTCTGAATCCTACACCAGCCAACAACTTAGCCTTGGGAAGCTCACCACCTGCACAACAATGGCACAGGCACCCCCCTCATCTTAGCCTTGGGGACACCAGGAGGTTCCAGTCCCTCTTCAGGTGGGTACAGCAGCAGGACAGCCCCACTTCCCCAGCACTTGTTCCATACTCAGTGCTGTGCTCTGGATCTGGCCCCTAGTGATTCACTTAACCCTCAAATGAAACACCAAAAGTATCATTCTCACCCAACGAGCCAAGAATTCCAAGCATTAAGTTGTGGCCATTTGCTCCAGCATGTGAATCAGGCAGTGGGGACCCAGCACTATAATCCTTCCTGGGGCTCCAAAATGCCTCCAAGTAGAGCAGAAACTGGGAGCTCTTTGCCAATGGGGTCTCAGAAGGAATGGGGCCAAGTTCCCTCTTCAAGGTCATGCTACCTCCAAGTGACCTCCTGGGCTACTGAAGAGTTTCAGGCTTAGGGCAAAGGTCTCTCTCCATTGCCCAGAAAACTGGGTTCCCAAGGCAGACCCACAGAAGGAGCTGGTGGGCGGGGCTGGGGGACAGGTCCTGCGCCCTATCAGATATGGAGAAGCAGGATGCCTAGTTCACACTGGATCACAGACTAATACTCCAGCCCCACCACGGCAGGCTCTATGACGTCCTCGGTCAAATAGCTGCATTTCTGTGAGCTTTGATTTCCTCATTCCTTCTTGCCTGTTTACTACTGCGAGTATTTAGCAAGCTATAAAGGTAATAGGCTTAGCAGAGTAGGCACTAAATCAACAGGAACGGCTATTATTACTGCGAGGATCATCCTCCTCATTACCAACCACATTCACATCATTCTTCTTATTAATATTATTTTATGTTGTAGCTTTCATGATCTGAGGAAGCAAAAGAAAATTTAGCGTTCAAAACTCAGGCTTCTCTCAAAACCAGAGACAAGAAAATAC